TACCTAAGATATTTTAGTCTGCAAATTAACCTGCATGTGATATGCTTTGTACAGCATAATTGTAGTTATTATGTTTCAAGTAAAGTATATACTGATGAGACTTTGATATGACAAAAGAAGACACTCTGCCAAACACCACTGATATTGTTTAACAGACTCAAAATCTTCATTAAACATTCACACCTTTCGCCGGCTCCAGATTCAGTCGTCATCATCGTCTGTGAGGTGAAGGAGAGCTGTTCTCTCCATGCCGCTCATTAAAACTAGATTGAAATGGTGCCATTTTCACTTATTGGCTTAATTGTCTGCTTATGTAGCGGAGCCAGATGACAGCGAGGGTGTCAGAGCCAAAGGACATGTTCAGTCCATTCAGACTAATGCCAGATCTCATCACTTATCCTACGTGATTCATACACAGCATGCTGAGCTGGCCTACAGACAGCTTCAATGAGCTCACTCATCAATTATGAGGAGTGAGGTCATAAATCAGTGCCACATTAATCATCAATCAGCTCCTGCACCCTGAACGGAACCTGAGGAACAGTGGCCTGTCTTTCATGTTCAGTCGTGTGCTCGTTCATGTCCCACGAGAGAGACGGGGACAAGACAACTCCACATACCTGCCTCTGGGCCCTCAAAGAGTCTAATGATAACCCAGCTCCAACATCTTCAGATCATCTGGAGTACCATCAAGGGCATCATGCACCCATGCTGTGAGTTGCGGTCTTGGCTCGCTTGTTGTCCCAGTAAAGATAAAAGATGAACAAATGAATAAAAAACAAATTTTGGTGACTTTGTTGTTCCTTATATAGGTGTAAAACAGGATCATCTGGTGGTAAAGTTGAAAGGATAAATTGTATCTATAATTACATTTTCAAAGATAGAAAATGATTTATTGTGGATGTTCCAATGACTCGTGCTCCTTAGTTTGAATGGGCATGATGCTTCTGATTGCCATGTGTGAGTACATTCACTGCTTAGTGGTAAATGTTTGCGTAAGTGTTGCTGTTTGTATATGCATGTTTGTCAGCGAGAGATAGACTGCTTGCGTTCAGTGGCTTTGCGAGTAGGTGTTGTGGTTGTCACTGGTCCAACTCACTGCGTGGTGTTTATATTTGCCTGTGTGTTCGGCATCTGTGTGTTCGGTAAGGGTATTTTGTATGTGTTACTGAGAGATACATACCAGAGCATGTGTCCTTTTCTCTGGATCACTGTGTCTTCTTGAGCTCAAGGTCTGTTTGATTGGAACATTACATGTAGGAGTTCCCATTCATTCTTCTTTTATTTCTGCCAGAGAAAAATTATATGTTTATTCATTTCATCACCTTACAATTTTCTGGTAAAGAAAACCACCTATTAAAAAATTTTCCCGTCATTATATTTTTCAGATTTGAAGCAAAATTTGCACTGATTTTTAAAAAAAAGAAGATACTATAAGCTAAGTCTGACTCAATTAAAGCAGTTAAGCAAACAGCCAGTCTAATGCCCCCATGAATAGAATAAGAACATAACTCAGGTGAAATCAAAATACAAACTAATTCAAGTGCATGCAAGTGCAAACTGGTTTCACATTAATTTCAACATATTTTGATTATACTCATTCTGATCTAGATTTTTTTATAGAATAAACATAAAATGACCTGTGACATGTACCTGTAACAGAAAATACAGATGTTTAATGAATTTGTTCAACTCAAAGCAAAACTTTTTTGGGTATATTTGGTCTTAAATGTTTAAATGTTCGGTTACACTTTTTGATAGTCCACTTTAGACATTCTACTAACTATACGTAACTTTGCAACTACATGTCAACTAATTCTCATTAATTTGCAACTACATGTCTACTAACTCTCAGAGTAGACTGTTCAGTTAGGTTTAGGGTTAGTAGAATAATTTGACATATACTTGCAAAGTTTCTCATTGTCAGCATGTTGTATGTTGTGGACCCATCAAAATAAAGTGTTAGAAGATATCAAGCAGACAGTCTACTAATACTCTAATGACTGCTAGTTAACATGTAGTTGCAAAGTTACTTACTGTTAGTAGAATATCTAAAGTGGACTATAGAAAATGTTCTTTTAGAAAAGTAATTTTCTATAACAGGCAGATTGAATTGCAATATTTAACTATAATTTAATTATAACATTTATAAACCACAGGCCCACAATGAAAAAATGTCCAGTGATTGTGTCTTTGAGTGTTTTTATTGAGTAATTATACAATGAAGTAATATTAATTACCAGCATAAGTGTTAGGTTAGAATTAGGGGTTGGTTTAGAGATAGTTGCACGCAATTATGCATAATTTACTGTTATTACTATAGTAATCACATGTAACATGACAAGGACAATGTAAAATACAGTGCTACCTTTTTATTTATTAAAGGCAGGGTAGGTGATTTGGTTCAAAACGTTTTTTGTTTTTTTTATGCTGGTTGAAATTCTCTTCACATCCCGATAGCAATCACTAAGTTAAGTGGTCTAACTGTAATTATATTGTATTTATATCGTCTGTGGAAGCCGTAGGACCATAAAATGTTCGTCCAATCATATCCCTCGGTCAGAAGGCTAAGATAGACTGCCCTACCTGCTTGTCAACGTACGGACTTGTACACCTCCACACACCTGTTCACACAGAAATGATACGTCATCATCAGCGTGTTCCATTACGCTACTGCAGACCGAGCGAGAAGAAAAGGCTTTATTATTGTAAAATGATGTGCTGTGTACTGTAATGTTTTCTCACTGAATGAGACATGAGGTCAGACATCAATGAATGAGACATGAGGTAATTGGACAGTGTTGCATTCAACCCTCCACCAACGCCGCCTCTCATTGTGTCACTGGTTAGCATCTGATCTGCATGTGCGCGTTCACATGCTTTGGAGGAGGCGTGGCTTTGGAGAGTGATTTGCAGGGAGGGTGGGATCTTATGCCTCTCTGTAAATGCCTACCCTACCTTTAATTGCTATGTATTGTGCTATTAAACGCTTTCTCCACAAAATAATAATAATAATAATAATAATAATAATAATAATCAAATCTTTTTTTTTTTTAAGTATGCTTTTTTAGAGGATGGAATGTTTGTTCAAAACAAATGAAAAACAAATAAAACTTTCACACAATCACACAATTTTTTTTCTCTATTTCCTTCTTTGTTTCTGCCAGGGAACTAGGAATTACACAAGCTTCAATTCAATTCAATTCAAGTTTATTTGTATTTCGATACAAATCGTTGCAAAGCAACTTTACAGCAAATTAGGTTTCTACAATATTTAGTGGTAGCTTATCAGTGGTGACTGTCAGTTAATGTACATATGGCAGAAATGTATGGAAAAATCAATTAAAGACGTAATCAAACAGACGATGAACATTATTAACAGCAATTATTATATGATGCAATCAAACGTATAGCAAAATGTGGTAGTTCTGTATGTAGTTTCAGGGTTGGCATCATCTGAGGTCCTCTGAGAGTTCAGTACAAGTTCAGATCAGTCAGCATTAGTGGCATAATGTAAAATAAAAAAAATAATAAGTAATATTTCAATGATAAGTAGAATAATAGGTAATATTTTCTGTGTAAAGTTCTATATCTTATTGGCAAATCAAACTATGAATAATAAGGCTTTGATAAATAGATTGAGGAACGCGCTCAAATCTATTCTTTATCCACCGATTTATTTCCCTTTTAGGAGTTGATGTTAACCCCTCAGAGGACCTCAGATGATGCCAACCCTCAAATAATATACAAAACTACCAAATTTTGCTATAAGTTTGATTGCAACATATAATCATTGCAGTTAATAGTGTTCACCGTCTGTTTGATTACATGTCATTAACTGCATGCTTTTTACTGTACATTTCTGCCATATGGACATCAACTGATAAGCTACTGCTAAATATAATGTAGAAACTTTCTGCTTTTTCTAATTTTCTGTGAAGCTGCTTTGCAATGATTTGCATCGTGAAAAGCGCTATACAAATAAACGTGAATTGAATTGAATTAAATTGAATTGAACAATCACAGGACATTTTCTCACAGCAGGTCTGTGACTTAAAAAAAACATATACTTCAACAGAAAGTAAACACTCATCAAGGTAATCATTTATTCAAATAGTCACCTGCTCCTCCACTTTTCACCATGTACCTTTAGACAGGTACTGTAGGAATAAAACAGCTAGCCGGGCATCCCTTGTCGAGTTCAGTTGAACAGCTGGACTGTGGAGTGTTTGGCTGGCAGAGAGAAGGGCACAGCTGGCTTTTAAGAGGAAGAGCTCCTCTTGAGCCTGTGGGAGGTCACAGCCTGCTAGGCCGCAAAGCGCTGCGCAGCAGGAGCCGTGTGTTAATGCAGAAGGCCTGCGCACTGTGTGCAGATGTTGTTCTGCTTCAGTGGCTGCCTCCTTGCACCTCTCTCTCTCTCTCCCCTCCTTTTTGTCCTGTATGGAGCTCTACTAAAGATGTGCCACTCTGCCCACATCCTCATGGCAACAGCAATCATATAATACAGGCATCATGGCTTACTTTAAATGGGCAAATTCTACAAAGTCACAGCGTCCTTGGTAATGTATGTAATGCTACCTTTTTGAATGCGCCAAACAGCCTTTTCAAAACCATCATTTAAGCAGAGATCTTGATGACAAATAGCTATTGACCTTTACTGCTAAAAACATTGTGTAATCACTCAAACTCTCCCACTTCATAGCATTTAAAACAAACCTCTATACTAATTGCACAAAAACCGTCCTTGCGTTCACCCTTACGTAAATCCGCTCATTTATCGACCACAGCAGGCCACGTGAGTATGGCACTGGCAGGTCTCCATTGTGGATGACGATTCTCTGGAGAAATGAGAATAATGAGACCGCATACAGACCCTCGGGGCTTTGTGACGTGACACCTGAGGAGCCAACAAAAGTTATCAAACAGCGTCGTCAGCAGTGTCCTGACAGAGATGAATTGAGCGAGTAAGAGTTGAGTGACAGGCCACGCAGTGGGGAAGAGGGGATGAGTTCTGAAGATCTCCCACTGTTGGGTGCCAGCGAACGTGGCACACGACAACCTCCACAACTCTACTTGATGTTCCACAGCAGCCAGAAGAGAAGACACCTTTCAGTGAGAGATTAACAAGGTATATTAAATATAGGGAACTTCACCTGGTAACTACTTTGACAAATTTTCTTAAAGGGATAGTTCACCCAAAAATGAAATTATGTCATCATTCACCCTTCCAAAATTGTAGAACTTACTTTCTTCTGTGGAACACAAAAATCACTTTGAAGAATGCACTTCTGAACTTTTTTGTCCACATGATGACACTGGACCCCAATGAAGATCATTATATATATATATATATATATAAAAAACTTTAAGAACTGCATGCATGTTACAAAGCATAGATTCTTTCTTAATGAGCATGTGCATTCATATTTTTCTTTTATGTTGTAATAACTTACCCTGATGACCTCAAAAATACATTCAATTATGCCGTATGCAGCTATCAGTAAGCAAAATCCTCACAGCTCACAACATTCACATGAATCACTGAACAGAACAGAAGTCCTCTTATGGTTTTCTGACTAAGACAAGGCTGCGTTCCATAAAGCTTAACTTTATTCACTATGTGAGGTGATCTGTAAAGCGAACTGCTCATTATTTTTGACACTCACTGAGCCAAACAATTCACAGATGTTGCAAACAAGAAGTATCGTTTTTGACAAAACGATTCTTTTGAAAACATGATGGTTTAAAGGTTACACACATATTGCACATATTTTCTTGTTTGTTTGTTTTTTCTTTTCATTAATTATGCATCCGAATCAGCCCGAGAGGTATGCTGTTTTGATAAGCTTCTCATTCTAGTTGCCATTCACAAATATTGCTTGTTTGCAAAACAATTTCTGCTTAAATAATTCATCAAAAGTGAGCAGGAATATTATCATTCAGGATCTACAACACTTTCTGACACTTGGAGGCAGGGATCATGTCCTTATTCTGACAATTCATGCAAACCTCTGACCTTTTTAGATGCATTATTTAAACATATTCTATTGAGTTTCCTTAACATGGACACGGGAACTAATACATAACACTGATGGCACTGACCCCAGACACACCAGCATTGAGAATAAACAAGAGGCAGGTGACTTTGAGTGATGGTCATCCTCAGACGTGCGTAAGCACACATTCAGCTCAGTCCTCTCTTAACCTTGAGCCTCGCAGGCTGAGAGCGTGAAAACAATAAAACAGGCTGACGATAAATCACCTCAGCATTTCGTAAACATTTACACAGTTTTGTTGAGCATCTTATAAGTTATCATGTATAATTCAGGGTAAAAAAGTGGTGTAACTCCAACGATGGTTGGTGATGTAGTAGAGTTAAATGTGAATACAGAATCAAACCGAATGACAGATCTGACGGGGAAACAAAGAGAGGTTTCAAACGAATGAAAGCCTGGGAGTATCTAAAGATCACATAGCACAGCACAGAGTCTGCAAAAGCTGCCTTTTATCTGTGTGATTTTCAACAATTCTTAAATCCCCAGGAGGCTTTGATGACTGGGGGAACGCTTGTCCCAAAGCCTGCTACTGTTAAATGGCATTAGAGCAGGGGCGGAAAACACATGGGCCAAGAAAGAGTCCAATTCAGGTTCAAGGAAAATTAAAACAAAACAAAACAAAAATTTAATTGGTATGATACATTCACTCCATTAATACATTCTCCAAACCAATTATCTTTGAGGTTTGAAGAGATACTTGAGCCTATAATGATATATTCACAATTAAATTATTATAAATTATTATGTTGATATATTCACAGTTAAAATATAATATAATATAATATACAAATATAAATATAATATAAAATGTAATATCATATAATAATGTAAATCTGGTGAATTACAATTAATAAAATTAATACATTATTTTACCTCAATACTGATTATTAAAGCATTAAGTTGATGCTTTATTAATTTTAGAAGAGCATGAGTTATGCATGCGTTCACTATATGCTCGCCAATATTTTTAAAAACTACATTTACACACATCCAAATAATCTATTTATAATCAGATTGATGGCTCCTTGCCTCAGTCGATCTGATTGGGCTCAATACGAATTAAATTTCGATTGGATTTAAGCGGGTGGTGAAGACCTGAAATAACCCAATCAACAAGAAAAATTAAGCATGTAGGCACTTCAATCCAACTATTTTCTCACATAACTTTCTTTACATCTCACGTCTTCCAAACTGAAAGCTCCTGACATATATATCAGCTTTCTTATATTTATTTACATCTCACATCTTAAAACTGGTTAGTGGAGGAGTGTAAATATTTACTAAAAATGTGCTTTAAAAATACAAATAAATGAAAACATTCTTATATATATTGGTGACATTATCGAGGTGGCTTTCTCCAGTTCAAAAACGTGGCAACTGAGCAATGTGCATGTGCTAATGTTTTGTTCGGAATACATGTCTTGCACTAAGACTGGCAAGAGCGGATTCCAAATCTTCAATACTTATCTTGCTGAATCTGTCCACTGCTTTTGACATGGTTAACCACCAGATTCTCCTGTCCTTTTCATACCACTGCTATGCTGATGACACTCAACTCTACCTCTCATTCCATCCTGATGATCCGATGATAGCTTCTCGCTTCTCAGCTTGTCTAACAGACATTTCTTGCTGGATGAAAGTCCACCACCTTTAACTCAACCTTGCCAAGACAGAACTGCTTGTGGTTCCATCAAACCCATCGTTTTATCACAATTTCACCATCCAGTTAGGCACATCAACCATAACTCCTTCAAAAACAGCCAGAAACCTTGGAGCTATGATTGATGATCAGCGGACTTTCTCAGACCACATTGCTAAAACTGAAGAAGCACAAAATCACTTTTACGGACTTTTAAATTGAATGTTCCCTCCTGGTGGAATGACCTGCCCAACTCAATCCGAGCAGCTGAGCCCTTAGCCATCTTCAAGAACCAGCTAAAAACACATCTCTTCCATCTTTTTTTGACCCTCTAACACTAGTACTCTCTATTCTAATTCTATTCTTTAAAAAAAAAACTTGTCCCTTTTAGACTTGCACTCTATTCATTTACTGCTTGTTTTCTTAAAAAAAAAAAAGTAAAAAATAACACTAGCTTTTCTAATCTTTTTGTATTCTATCCGTTTTGTTTTTATTTATTATACAATTAACAAAAGCAAAAATGGCCTCTAACACTAGCTTGCTCTATTCTTTTTTTATTCTATCTGTTTTCTTTTTATTTATTATATAATTTAAAAAAACTTGCTATGTGTACTGTGTTAAGCTAACTGAGACTTGTTATAGCACTTGCATATCATTGCTCCTTTGTTGATTTTGATTGCTTCCATTGTCCTTGTAAGTCACTTTGGATAAAAGCGTCTGCTAAATGACTAAATATAAATGTAATGTAAATGTAATGCACTAGAAACTAATATGTAAATCAGATTGAAACATGTAGTGTTCATATAAACAGAAATTTCAGAATCAGTAATCGGATTGGATTCACTGTTACTGACGAAACTTTGTGCAAGTAAACAAACCTTATGTTTCACAGAAATGAGTGCTCCTTGTCAGTGTTGTGACTTTACAATTCAACCCTTCTCCAACCCAGAAAAGCTAAATTATTCCATGTTTGTTGTTAGAACCAACAAGGGCACAGACAGGGCGGCCGCGACCTCAACCAGACGGAACATCCCAGCCTTATTGACTACTCTGTCACCCGTTCAGCCCGCTTCTGATTTGACATTCCATTAACGGCTCCCGTGGGCTGAGGGTTGACGGCAGAGGAGAAATCTGGGGACAGCGGGACAGGATTTACAAAGGTGGCGAGCTCACCTCGTCGCTGACCGCACAACTGCACAGGTCATATCCGCATACTGATGTGCGTCGTGCCCTAGTGACTACGGTGGAGGCTGAGTGAGGGTCATACTTAATTCTATACAAATACCCATAAACAGAGAAGCAAAAGGATTTGAAGAGAGAAAACAAAGATTGAACATCAAAAAAAGAGCAAAGAGTGGGAAAAAACTCCATGCTTTACCAATAAAATTTGTGATAATGTCCAATCAGCTGTTCATTACCACAACATAGGCTACTGTATAGCCCGACACGAAGTCTATTTTGGTTACACTTTACAAAAAGGCCCCAATAGTTAACATTAGTTAATGCATTAAAGGGATAGTTTACCCAGCCAAGGTAAAGGGCTGCCAAGTCTGCGAAACATAACCAGCCCAATTTACCCTTCACAAAGACCTGCCCTCCTTAGTTACTGTTGCTATGTCCAACAAGATAGGGTGCTCTCACGCAGTGAAAAATACATCACGGAGTAAAGAGGACACTGACAATGCGCTGACAGACAAGACAGAGCAGGATACTTCTAGTATGAAACAAAGTCTCAGCTTTCAAATTTTGTAATTTTTTAAGGAATTCAAACAATAAGTACTTTTTTGTGGCTCTTTAATGTGTAGTGACAGATCGCTGCAGCACCTCAGTTCAAGCAGCATGTGAATCGATCATTTTTTTCATATATACTAGTTAATATCTTGTTTTAACCGTGGAATGACATCAAACCACACCGTTTTTCTGAATCCACCATATTGTCCGACAAACAAATCAGACAGGAGAGTAGATTAACCTCTGTGGACTTAAAATTAGTGTACCCTGAAAAATTGTGTGTATTGAAAAATTGAAAATGAAAAATTGTGTGTATTGACATCTTTCTACAGTTGAAATAAAAACCTTCTGATGTTCATTCACGTTTATTTCATGCTTTAACAAATGACATGAAAGTAAGAATCAATAATTCAAGAATCAAGAACCAGTAGAGCCTCATATTTATTGATAATAATACCAAGTGGGAAGAGGAAGAATCCTCATCATCTTTACTATTAGAAATGGACACTCTTTCAACAAAACGGTGAATAGGAGTTTGACAGACTGTAGTGCCAGTAGGCATCAGCTTTCTATGTTTTATTCTGC